TTTAACCTTTAAAAAAGATCTCCATTTCATTTTAGAATATATTCTTCCTTGTAGAAACACTCATTGTTTTTGCTATGAACACTGAGATGTTGGTGCTTGCATCTCTAATCTGTATGTATCTGATTATTACTAGTCATAATCAGTTGCAGTTGGATCCTTGGCGCCTGTGTATGTCTATAAAGTCATCGGGTGGATTTCAATGGTAATGGACCTCTGCTAATTAGCATGACGTAACTTTCCATGATTCCTCCTCAAATATAACACATTTTAAAAAATTTGTTGATTTTTTTTTGTGTGTATGTGTGTATCACACAGAACATCCCAAACCATCTCATTCGACTATACACCCACTTCCCAGATGGCACCCTCCCACAGCCTCCCTCCCTCCATTAGAGCCCTTATATTCTGATATCCCTGCTCCTGTCTGCTGTGTTGTGGGCACCCCCAGCCATTTCCTACTACTTGCCCTTCTCGTGAATCTAGTCAGCCTATCTAGAGTTGTTTTAGGAGGGTCAGCTGTTCCTTATCTAGCGGTAATCAATTGTCAATATTCCTTTAGATAAAATTGGGGTCTGCTGTTCATTTTCCCAGTCCTGTGCTGGGTTACTATGTGGAAGTCCCTTTGGCCACCCAGGCCAAAAACTCAAAAGAAGGTATCGCCTATCAGGCATTGTTCCTTGTTATGATAGCCTTTAGCTATGCATATGGACTCTTAAGAAATTGTATTGGCCCCTTTAATCTTTGGTTATAATTTCCTTTTGGGTGTTTAAGTCCATACAGTTGGCCCAGATAAACCAATTTAGTTTCACTCTTAAGGTCGTTTGAGGATCTGTTCCTCAGGGGTGACATGGACTTGGGAGGAGCCCCTAGCTCCTTTCTTTGACCAGTTCCATCGATGTGAAGATAAGTCAAATGTCTTACTTGACCATGTCTGGCTTCACTTGGAAGCATGAATGAGATGTTTCCTCTGAGTTGACCCTTGTCTTTGTAAACTGGACACTGGTTCAAGTCCATCTCATGAGGTCTCCATGGCCTCCCAGAACAAGAAGACAGGTGACTCACCAAAGTTACAGGACATTTCAAGAGATGCTCCATAGCCCCTGGAACTTGTTTGACCTTGGAGGGCAAGGAACAAAATTCGTCCCTTTAAGTCCCTCTGACCAGATTAATATAGGCCTTAAAAGTCTGGCTATTAAACATCCAACAAGGTTAGTTACACCAGTTTGGTACTTCTAATTACCATATGCTATGTAGATAGAGCTTGGACTACATCTCTGGTTTTCAAAACTAGCTAGGCATTATTTATCTCTCACATTGTCTCACCCCTCCACCATGGTTTTCCCACTTAAGGTGCCCCTATTTCCCTCCTTTCTCCCTTAATAATGCCCTTCTCCTACGGTCCTACCTCTCTTGAGGGCCTTCTTTCCCTTTATGCCTTAGGCTCCTTGTATACCCTTCCCTCCCCCCTCCCTTAAACTAACCCAATTTTTATCCATATCTCCCCTCAAACACCACTTTCCTACTGTTCTTCTCTTTCAGGTTATTTCTTTTCCTTTACCTCCCTGTTTCCTTTCCATTATCCTGGTTCCTGTAGTTATGTCTGGATACATACTCACTTATCACGGTTTGGTTCTAGGATCCACATATGGGGGAGAACATATGTCGATGTTTTTTCTGAGTCTGTGTTACATCACTTAGTATAACAGTTTCTAGTTCCATCCATTTACCTGCAAATTTCATGATTTCATCTTTCTTTACTGCTGAGTAAAACTCCGTCATGTAAATGAACCACATTTTCATTATCCACTCATAAACTGAGGACACTTAGGTTGCTTCCATCTCTTAGCTATTGTGAAAAGAGCAGCAACAAACATGGATGTGCCAGTGTATCTGCAATAGGATGAGTGGGTATATGCCAAGGATTGGTATAACTAGGTCAAATGGTAGGTTCATTTGTAGGGTTTTTTTTTTTTTTGGTCTTTTTGAGACAGGGTCTCCCTGTAGCCCCAGCTGTCCTGGAACTCACTATGTAGACCAGGCTGGCTTTGAACTCACAGAGATCCACCTGCCTCTGCCTCCTGAGTACTGGGATTAAAGGCATGCGCCACCACGCCCAGCCATTTGTAATTTTTTAAGAGTTCTCCACACTGCTTTCCATAGGGTTGAATAAGTTTGCAGCCCTACCAGCAGTGGGTGAGTGTTCCCCTTTCCCCACATCCTCTCCAACATTTGGTATAATTTGTTCTGTTGATCTTAGCCAGTCTGACTGGGGTAAGATGAAATCTTAAAGTGGTTTTAATTTGCATTTCCCTAAGTATTAGTGATGTTGAACATCTTTTAGGATGTTTCATAACCATCTTTACTTCTTCTTTTGAGAACTCTCTGTTCAGCTCCTTAGTGCATCTTTTAATTGGGCTGCTTCG